GACACTCAACATTGAGCCACATCGGCCAGGCTGAAAACCCATTTGAAAAAATGACAGAGAACGTCCCTAACCTGGTGAAGAAAATAGACATAGAAGTCCATGAAGTGCAGAGAATACCCAACAAGATGAACCCAAAGAGACCCACACCAAAACACTTTATAATTAAAATGCCAAAAGTTAAAGACAAAGAGAGAATCTTAAAAGCAGCAAGAGAAAAGAAGTTAGTTACCTACAAGGGAGTATCCATATGACTATCAGCTGATTTCTCAGCAGAAACTTTGCAGGTTAGAAGGGAGTAGCAAGAAATATTCAAAGTGATGAATAGTAAGGACCTACAACCAAGATTACTCTACTCAGCAAAGCTATTGTTTAGAATCGAAGGGCATATAAAGAACTTCCCAGATAAGCAAAAGCTAAAGGAGTTCATCACCACCAAACTAATATCACATGAAATGTTGAAGGGTCTTCTTGAAGGAGGAGGAGGAGGAGGAGGCAACTTATCAAAATATGAACAATAAAATGGCAATAAATATATATCTATCAACAATTGAATCTAAAAAAACACACAAAATAAATGAACAAGCAGAACAGAAACAGACTCAGATACAGAGAACATTTCAATGAGAGGGGGATTTGAGGGTAGGAGTGAAAAGGTGAAGGGATTAAGAAGTACAAATTGGTAGTAACAGAACAGTCAGAGGGAACAAGTCTGCAACCTGGGCTTGTGCCCTGACTGGGAATCGAACCATGACCTCCTGGTTCATAGGTCAATGCTCAACCACTGAGCCACACCAGCCAGACTGAAAGGCTTTAATGTAGAAAATTAAAGGTTTATAAAACTGTTGGAAGTACTGGAGGAGTGATATCTCAGTTTGTACTTGGAGTGATCCTCAAAAGGTCACCTATAAGTGGCTACAAATGAGAAGCTCACATAATTATCATAGCCATGTGTCCCCAACCTAATTGTAAAGAAGACTGTGATTAATATGGATTCAGTCTGTGTCCCGAGCACAGAAGGGTGAAAGCAGTGGAGGGCATTCAGAGTTATATTGGAGCTGCGCAGCACAGCCTCCTCTTGTTTCTACCCCCCCCCCCCCCCCCCCCCCAGTCTGGTTCTCTTCTTCCTGAGAAAGACAGCTTTTTCAAGCTGGGAATATAGTCATCCGGCATAAAGACTACATTTTCCAGCCTCCTTTCCAGCTATGTGTAGCCATATGACTACGTTCTGGCCAATGGGATGTCAGTAAAGTGTTAAGAAAAATTTCTGTGATGTGCCTTTAAAGGGAGTGAACATGCCCTTCTTTTCCTTCTTCCTGCTGGCTAGGAGGTGGACTTGATGGAGGAGCTGCAGCAGCTGAACCTCAGACATGAGCCTCTGCAGGGTCTCAGCAGAGCTGCTGGGGAGGAGGGACAATAGTGCAACAAGACAAAAGGAGCCCTGGTTGGCTTGTTTCCATCAGAAATAAAATTCCATTTTGTTTAGGCTCTTCTCTCCCACTCACCCCCACCCCCTTTTGTCATTGTACCTGAGCCTGATCCTATGTAATACAAACTAAATCTGGAAAAAAAAGAAAGAAAAGAATATAAGTTCACCAAGGAATAGAATATTTCACAGAGGAACAGCATGTACAAAGGCTCAGAGTTCTGAAAGAGGTGGTGTGCTCAGGAAATGCCAGGGGCTTTGTGTGGCAGGAGATGACATGGAAGCGGGTTGGATGAGCCACAGCAGAGGATGGACCGATCAGGCAGGACTGTGGCAGACAGAGCCTCTGGAGGCTGAGTGTGATTAAGGTGAGAGACAAGGGGAGTGTGATGCGATTGGTGGTGGAAATAGGGAGAGGGGATCCATTCAAGACACAGGAGCAAAACTCAGGAGTTTATTTACTATTTTTTAAAAATATATTTTATTGATTTCAGAGAGGAAGGGAGAGGGAGAGATTGAAACATCAATGATGAGAGAGAATCATTGACTGGCTGCCTCCTGCACGCCCCCTACTGGAGATTGAGCCCGAAACCCAGGCATGTGCCCTTGACAGGAATCGAACCTGGGACCCTTCAGTCTGCAGGCTGACGCTCTATCCATTGAGCCAAACCAGCAAAGGCAAAACTCAGGAGTTTATAAGTGTGGGTGTAAGTATACGGAGTGGACAAGTCATCAGAGAAGGCCTGGGCTTCCTGGCTCCCCTCCTCAGAGGCTTGTGGGTGAAGGCCAGCCTCTCCCCTGAAGGAGAAGCCTACTCTTGACCCAATTCTTTGGGCCCAGAGTCCCTGGTCCAGGTTCTGCCTCTCACCACCTCCTCTTCTCCCCCCTGACTTCCTGCTTGTTCCAGGATTATTTCATGAAGGGGAGGTGCGAGGGTCTTTGCCCTGTGAATGCTGACTCTCCCATCTGCCCAGGAGCCTGTAGGGGAGCTGCCAAGGCTGCTAGGGTCAGGCGGGCAGCTGGCCACTGCCCCTGGCTGGCTGGGCACAGTGCCTCCGGGCAGTTGAGTAAGAGTGGGCTCCAGCAGACAAACAGGCTTGTATCTATCTCTGGGCCAGCCAGTTGTGAGTGGGCAGGTTGGAGGTTAAAGGGTTTGGGGTGAACTGGGTGAGGAGTTGGGCCACTCCTTGTAAACTTTCCAAGAAGCCCTAGTCCACTGGGACAGCCCCTGAGATGGGGGCACTCATTAACCCTGTGGGTGCCAGGAAAGGGCAGGAGGTGAGCACTGGGAGGCCGCTGAGGTCATCTTTCTTTGAACTTCCACGTGATATTTACTCAAAGGAATTGCTGCCAGAGGCCCAGGCCCTGGAATATAAAGCCGAATGTCTGCTCTCTGTGCCCAGAACTGAGCAGGTGAGCTGCTGGGGCAGAGGGCGGAGGGCAAGGGGGACAGAGTCCCCTGGAGGACTGCAGGGTCTCAGCAGAGCTGGGGGGGAGGAGGGACCAGACCCACGTGGAGCACCACGTGGCAGAGCTGCTTCTTGCCCTGGGCATGCCTCTGCTCCCAGCCACCCACGGGGGCAGGAGGAGGGGGGTGAGGGCCAGCAGCCCTCCCCTAGGAAGCTCTTCTGGGGCCTGGCTGGGGAGGAGGAGGGGGAGCCTTTACAAAACAGTTCGAGCTCCACCTCCTTGAGCTCTTTCCCTCCCCTGGGAAAGACACCCTTCTCTTCCCAGCCACACTCACCTGCCTCCATCCTGTCACCACGAGCCCCTACAGTCAGTCCTCAGGGCTCTGAGCTCCCTACGCCCCAGGGAAGTGTTCACAGACTTGGGGCAGGCTGACCCTGGGACTGACACCTGGGAGATGTCCCTGTCTTTGCTTCCTCACCTTAACCAGGCCTCCCCGGCCTTCCCTCTCAAGACAGGCAATGGCCCGCATGACTGCAGCCCTGGCCTGGGCGCTGGCACTCCTCTCAGGTGGGTCTCCCCCTGGCAGGGGTGAGGAGGTGAGGTGGAGGCTGGCCGGAGGCCCGCACTCACCCCTGCCTTTCCACAGCGTTTTCCACCGCCGAGGCGCGGAAAGGCCTCAGGGTCAACTCCGGTCAGAGCAGCGGGGACAAGGGCAGGGTGGAGCAGACCCAGCAGCAGAAGCTGGCCCGGGAGTCCGCGTGAGTGCCCGGGCAAGGGGCGCGGGGAAGGGAGGAGACAGGCCGTGGGATGATGGCTGCCTCTGATTCCTCAACCCGCGGGTCTGCTCCTGCTGCGGAGCAGAGGAAGCAAGCTGCCAGCTCCCCCCAACCCCCCAATCCTGGCCTTCCTGACTGTGCGCCCTGGCCGGCGGCCCCCGCCCCGCTCTGACCTGGCTATGGCTGTTGCCCCCTCACCCGCTGCGGCGTGGGAGCTGGAGGGGAGAGGACCCCACTGCGTCCCCAGAGCCTCTGTGCCCCCTCGGGCGGTGCGGGTCTGCGGGTCTGCGGGTCTGCGGGTCTGGATCTGCAAGGGCAGTGCCTGTGTGCGGAGGGGCGGCCCGAGGCTGGGATGGCGCCCTTGGTTTCCCCATTAGATCAGTGGGCGAAGCCTCTGGGGCAAAGCAGAGGTGGGGCCGGCAGTCTGCCGCCTGACGTCTGACCTCTTCCCCAGGAGCCTGAAAGGCAGCCTTGAGCAAGACCTCCACAACATGGACAAGCTCCTGGAGAAGCTGGGCCCTCTGAGTGGGCAGGGGAGCGCCCCTCCCGGGCTCCCACCCGACCCCGAGGGCCTTGG